TACACCCTCTAGGTCTCTACTTTCTGTACATCTAGTCTAAGGCTATCCAGGTGTGTACTTACCTGAAATAACTTACCTGCTTATCCTACTGAAAAGTTGATATTAGACACACGGGAAGCTGGCTCACAATCACACTGCACCTGTTTAATGACCAAAATATATACACCTAACACTTGATTCTTACCTGGTTTCGGTGACTTTCTGATACGCTGATTATGTACGAGTCCGTGAGACGTTGTAGTGTCGGCTTTGTTTACCTTCCGGATACTACAGAACTGCTTCCTGTTACATCACTTCCTGTTTATAACATGTTCTATGGAATTACGGCGTTGCCATTCTAAACCTAACACCCCATATTCATGCTTCACTGACACGATGCAATTGCGTTCCCTTCTATTCCTTATCTACAACACTAGTATTTGTCTTAATAATACGGATCTACTTCAGACGATAACTGTGTGATTCGCTTCCTGTCACGGGGCACTACTTCCGGGTTGCAATGCTGAATACATCCTACTGCCTGTGTAGGACCTCGTACTATACACTTTCAACTATCCAGAGCGCTTATCAAACGGAATCGACTATACATAATTTTGTAACATCACATACAAATATACCCATCGGCAAATGATGCAAATACTTTCATGTTAACGCTTCTATGTGGTGTCCCTCTGTAATTCAAGCCCATTCATTTGACACGAACTGACCAACAGTGAACAGATAACATCCTATCTGAAAATCATACTCTACTCACAACCGTATCATGGCTGCTATTTCTATCACATAGGTACATATCCAGTTTAATCTTTATTAAAATATCATTACCACAACTATAACAGCATGACATTTATCAACATCTTCAATTTATTACATGCATTTCTGGACAATTCCTGGTGACATATTAGTGCAATATACACACCTTCAAACCAAGTTAACTGTGACAAAGGTTCCATTATCTGACAACTTTACGTTGACAGACACAGCCATGAATACACTTTCGTTGAATAAAACTAAACAAACACAGTTAACATCCTCAACAACTTCAGCTATGTGGATTGTGTGCATGAAAGACCAACATTTCCTCTCCAATACAAAGCAACACATGTACTGTCGTAGTTACAAGACCAACATTGAACCGTTTTGCCTCACATACCACTTCAAACAATGATATTTTCTCTAGAAACAGTATCATATGTTTCATTTCAACTCAGATGAACTCATACACTCATACCATTTCCATATAATTGCTCTGCCTCATGACAAACATATTACCTATTTCAACCTCTCACTGCATTAACAATTAAGTTATGAGCTCACCTTGATGATTGCATTCCATTTAAAGTAACTAAGTATAACAACAGTGTAACAACTGATAAACATTTTGACTTAGTAGTTACCACTTGTACATAACTTCCATTACAACACTGTCATCTATGTTATGTCCATTCACTCTCAAAACAAGAACATTTTTATCACATATATATAACCTTCTCCCAACCCATGGACGTGGTATAAACATCCGTTCAAGAAGATTACTATGCATATGTTACTTTATTTTTATCCAAAATTAACACCTGACGTGTGTAGCCTATTGATATGAGCAAGACTTGCTCTAACACAACTTCAATAATATCGGGGTCCTTTGTTAACACACCTATATTCCACGGGTTTTTGTATTTGGTTTTTAGTTTTTTGTTTTGTTTTCTTGTTGTTTTGCGGGTTTTTTTTATACTTTGGGGTTTTTTAATAAGCATCACAGCCCTATGCACACACAACTGACACAGCACTGAAGAAAAAAGGCACAATATCCTTCCTCCCAAACACAATCTAACAGTACTACAAATATGCCAACCACATGTACAAAGATAGGTTTGTTTATATAGAATGGTGGTTCCTGTTCACCCTATCGTAGACTTGCAAATTAAATTGATAAGAACCTTAAGTAACATATCTCAAGCAATTATTGATTTTTTTTATACTCAACACTCCAATGGAATTGCAAACATAGGTACAAGAAAGACAGACACCATGTATAGAGCTCACATACATAGTGTACACAAGAAATAAGCTCTATCGGATATGAGTGATGATCTTATACTACTACTGCCCAACCATCCTTACTCTAACCAAAGGGAATTTCAGATAATGAGGACTTACTAACGCTGTGCTTCAATTTCAAAAATGAGTAAAAGATGATACCATTTCAGATAGAGGTGTCTGCAGTAAATTTTTCTAACAAAGTGTTCCAACCCTTAATTTTATACTCTTCAAAAAGCTTTCAGAATGACTACTGCTGATTATTACTCCACTGTGGGAAAACACTTGACATGACGAAACCATATTAGCATCTCAAGCTACATAAGTTCCCATATCAAGGCAGGATCATCACTAATCAGTTTGGATCACTGGACAGTAACTTGGCATTATCACCCTTCACTCTTCATGCTCACATCTGCACATTGTCAATACACAGACTTCTATCATCTTGGACAAAGCTCTAAAGACAGATAGTGCTGACAATTATTGTAAGGACAACATAATTTTTCAAATTGACAAATGACTCTAAACCTAGAAATAACACCTGCTCAAGCATTAATATACATAAACATATAAAAATTACTATTGACTTCATTCCTGTCAACAATACATCACTTTCACTGATATAAAATATAATGAAAAGTCATTCTACTAATCACACGAACCACCTTAACAGCCACCACAAGAATTCCTCTTGCCCTGCACCTCCGGCTGTCAACTTTCATATTACTTTCCTTCCAAATCAACTACAGCTAGCTTCAGTAAAAGCTCACATAAACCATCGAAGGTTTGTGATAAATAACTCTTAACTTTGGCAATCTCCTCTACAAACCCATGGTAGATTAACTAAGGACTCTTATAACTTCTTTCACTACTTTACTAGTACAAGGAACTTGAAAAGCAACCCAAAGAAGGAAACATCCATACCATAGCACATACAGAGTCAGAAAATGGCCATCAACATTCAGCCTTAGATAGGTAATAATGTAATATATATCTCAACCGGCTTCCACAAAGTCCATAAAATCATCCTTGATAATGACATAAATGTTCAGCTGTGATATATTTCCAGCAGAAGTAGGGCTTAAATTATGCAATATTGCATGACACAACAAACTAAGATGTTCATATACATATTTTGTTGCAGACAAGTGCTGACAAAATGTTATAAATAGATGCAGAAAATATTATTTCTTGTACTCAATGATATCAGATTATATCTACCATTGCTATTGCATAACCAGCACACCTGGTACACAACAGCACCCTACAGCTAATGGATATCATCGCACAACCACCAACAAACATCACGTCTTTCAGACACAGTTCCACACGTGTTGTCACCAAGCGAACATCTTTGACAAACGTTTCCAGATCACAATTTTCAAGACGAGACAATTTCAAATGAAAAACTAGGTCACTGCAGCCTAGAGAAGCCTTGTACATTGAGGTGGCGATTACACCGTTTCACGCAGACCACCCGCAATGCTTCTTGCTCGACGCTTATGGCCAACCGCTTGGACAAGATGCAACGAGAAAAAAATTACAATTAACTTATCAGCAGTATTTCCATCTATTTGGTTAGTTAAAACGCCTGATCAAATTCCCCCTGAAATCAACGCTTCAACCATCAAGTCACAACATGGACAGTAAATTACTCTAATCCATACTTTTGAGGCATATGCCCTGTCATCGGAAGTGCGTACGGAGCGGCGAAAAACGGGCAGACTGCCATGCACTGACTGGACATCAGAGCAAACCTGTCAATATTTGAGAGGAGAACTACAACTACATGCTAGTCTGGCCGCCCAGTGCAAAGACTAGAAGTCACTCTCGGTACGTACGTTACTTTATGCAACCACTTGACAGATAGATCAATGGGAAAGGAAGACATCCCAGAGTATCAACGCATACACGGCAGCGTCCTGGTTGCCTCCAGTGGAATCGCCAACGTGGTTCATCGTCCGTCCCAGCGTCACAAATCTATTTTCTGTGGCAGTCATCTGAGCCCACGTTAGCACTCAAGCAACACAGTATCCTACAAGCTACGTGCCCACGCCGGCGCATTCACAACGGAAATGTACCGTACAACACCATCCCACTAAGGAGTCTCCACCACGGCTGTTAGCAATGTCATCAATGCCCACGGAAGGGGATTGCCTCGATACAGATGGTGCTCCAGAGCGCGCTCTGGATGCCGCTTTCATTGTATCGACGTCTCCTGAAGCGTCCGACTGTAGGGCACTCAGATATTTGAACCCCGACTAGCCTTTAACTCTTGTGGATTGCAGTATAACTCTGTGTCTGTCATGGGCACTGACTCTACACAGGAAAATCATCAGTCGCAGGGACATAGGTTTCAAGGTGCCACACAGGGACAAACACCTCGGTGAGCGTCATGACCGGCAGGGCCACCACAAGGCTGCCCCGTATGCAGTAGTTAATGCCAGACCAAAGGTACTGCGAAGTGAAACCGTATCAAATGGATGGATGGGGACCACCTTCACCCTAACCGTCGCTGCCTCAGGGCCAAGCGCCTGTAGCCCTGCTAACCGCTACCGATGACTATGACCTGCATTAAGGCCTAAGTAGGGACAGCCAACTCAACGCAGACAAACGTGGGAACTTCCTGATGATGTGTAATAACACACCACCTGATTGTCCCATCACCTACTGGCTATGCCAGTTCCTGGTAAATACACCCACCCTTCCTCGATTTGTGCAACCTAGCGACTGCACCAACTCCTAGCGATACCACGTAAAACAGTAAATATGTTCTACCTACGGGAAGGACAGTAGAGAGTACTTCCTGTGCTATGTGGAGTCAGGCCTATCGGTGCCGCAATCCATTGCTACGCTTCTTGCTTGAAAACACAGGTCAGTAAACAGAACAACTGATAAAGGAACACCATCAACCCCAGCTCCGCAAGATGCGCAAGCACAGCCCTTGCCTACGCAGGTAAGCGGCCCCTGACTGCAGAGACTATACTACGCGTCCTCCGTCAAATGATCAATCGATAGGACGTGATTACCATCAGCGGTACAGTTTATACCCTCATGTTATTCCATGACATAACACCGTACAAACTGCTTTCAGATTACAGTCAGATCATCCCAGAACACTGACAGTAAAAAAAAAAAAAAATAAAAAATAAAAAAAATCAAAGAGCTGTCTTCTCACGCATAGAGAGTCTTCCGTACGGCAGCTGGTTAAACGGCATGCTGTGACTTCAAAGAGACAGTATATACGTACCATTTATGCCGGGGCGTGGTGGCCTATCAGTTTTAATGTATAAACCCCTTCTGTTAGGTAATGGCCAATTTGGTGAATGAGCGGCCACTTTGTGCTAAGGTTATACAGCTGTTAACGATACTTACCTCCAGTACCCAAAACACGATATAGCGTTGAAAAGTTACACCGTGATTGGATGATGAATCACTATGACCGCTGTCCTCCGGAACGGCGATCCGCACTTGCGCACTATAATTATCTGCGTTGACAGTTGCAGTGAGCACAGCAGATATCAAAAAGACTCTTTGAGGCTTGGGGTGCGGGATGTTGGGGTTGTGCAGTTGGGTAGGTGGGCTCGTAGAGTTTCTGGGTGCAGCCTAGGCAAAGTAATGCACTGAGAGCGACAGCATTGCGTTTCTTTGACGTGCACAGGCTGACGGCTTGCTGGTAACGGGCATTACCGGGTTGAGATGAGACACAACCTAGATGCAAGCGTCACGCTTGACACGCCAGCCTAGTTTAAGCGAGGTGACTTTGGCTCCTTCTATGTTACCTCTACGGTCAAGGCATAAGGGCAGTGAGTCAGACAGGAGCCTCCTGCAGCCTGCAGAGTTACACACCCTTTCGGTTTCCCTTTTGATTTGGCAACATATTCCTTATTATCTGCAGTAGCCATAATGGTTATTGGTTAAATGTATTGTAACCCTTAGGACATAAGCTATCTGTCCCTTTGATGTAATTGATACCGACCTACAGTTCTAGTTTGAACTGACACTGAAATCATCAGTATGTCAACTGTGACTCGGGCCAGTTCCCCCAACTTCCCACATCACGACCTCGTTGGGCAGCGCATCAGGGATGGTGATAACAATCATAAACTGCAATCTTTGCAGCCACAAACAGTAAGGGCAAAGGCAAACAGCACGCAGGATGAGTAGGGTCCAAATGATTTTGACCTGGTCCCAACTTGCTGCTGCTCCCCTGCCTTCTGCCCTTATGCTTGTAATCCGGCCCGCAAACACCATGCCCGACTACCATTCCCGTGAGTTTTTACCCCTGTTTCCTTACGCAAACACGATGCCTTGCCCACCAACTGACCGCTAAACACCTCGTGAGTGATTAAGACATGCTTGGCCAGGGGACCCGAGCCACAGTTGACCTGTAGATGATTTCTATCACTCCAGAAACATCCTTCTACCTACTGTACAACGACGTCCTCATTGGCAAGCCACCAGTCCAATTTGTACGTGCCTTGGCAGACACGTGCCGTGACAGGTGGAATGCAAGTGCATATGAAAAGGACAAACAGGTTTATTGACGGGTTTTCTTCAATGCTAACGGTTCACCCATTGAAATGGGACTGGCCTCACTCCTCCACACAGGACCAGGGAGACCATTGTCTGGACCCAGCACCTAAAATAACGCTGTGTAGCGCAGGAATTTCTATTCCGGGTTCCAGGCTAATAACTTGGGTTGGCATGCCACGCGGGACGAATTGTTGGAGTCACAGGCACGCGACTCTGTAGTAGTAATTGACTGTGCTCTCCTACTACCCTTAGTCCATTGTCAAACTATGTGACACCTACCACTATAGCTGCAAGGTCTGATGACGGTTGCCGTAGAGGATAGAGCGGTTTCTAATTTGGGATATCAGGTAAGGCTACACACGTCTTTGCCGTTACCAAGTCTCCAGAGTGTAGTAAGAGAACGTTATGTAGGTCCCCTAACGCTTTTGCAACGTATTTACTCTCTCCCGTGCGCTGACAACTTGTAGCCATATTGTCCAGACCGCACGTATTTCAGTACGGCGACAGGTTTCTATACTGCTCCCGGTGGCAAGAATTATCCACTTAAAGAATCCCGAGGACATCTCTTCATATGTAAAGCCACCAGTTTCTAGTATAGAACCAGCTATGGGTAAACACTACTCCAAGGTAAGACATGTATGACACAGACTCCCTGTACAGATAAGATGCTGACGCATCACTGACTGCAACCTTGGTCAACCATGGGTTTCGAACTACATCAAACATCCCCCATTACACCCGTCTCTACGCTGCCGAGACCCTGGACCTTAAACAGAATGGACACAGAGCTGTTTTCCGGGTGTAACCGTGAGCCATGCCCTTAGACTAACCTTACCAATATAAAGCCACAGTGTGTACTGCGATGAAAGCATGTCACGTGGAGAATCCACGGGAATCCTCACTTAACTGGAAAATTTGTCTCTCGACCTTCTCTCACCTTAACCTTTCAAAAATATTGTACTCTCTTGTAGGGAGTGACACTCTGAAGACCTCGCGATATACAGGAAGAACAGGGAACCAATCAAACGGGCCAAAGAAGGAGGTTACCCAAAACACAGCCATGCTTAAGGGGGATCCCCTGAAGGAGCATATCTAGAGCAATGGCGCAGCTAAGAACTTGAACAGGCAGTAATCATCATGTCGGTGTCTGGGCTTTTGTTCCCGCGAAGGTTTTAAACACCTGCAAGGGTTAGCTGTGATCTGAGCGCCACATTTCTGGGGATTGGCAGGTAGAAAGAGACAGCTCAAACCTTACCACAACACTGGGTGCTACGCAGAGCTGTCACTAACCGTTGTCTCACGGAGCGAAGCTTTGTCCACCAGAGCCCTTCTGCTCCTACAAGGGGTTACTTGCCAACGTTACAGACATAGACGAAGACCTGGCAAGTTGCCTGACATCTCGAGGTTGCACATGAACCATAGCATACTGTCAAAGCCTGAAGGCCTATTTCTCTTATCCTCGGTGATTCCCCCGTCTAATTTACATTGGCCCTTTGCAACCACCCGTACTCTGCCGTAGCAGCGTGCTTTCAACAGACGCATAACTGTCGATCATCGAGGCGATCTGCAACAGCGGTACCGCTCGCTGGCTCTCGCACTGAACTCTTTTGAAAGTGCTCGACAGCATAACACGTCCTGAAAACAATAAGTTCACATAGCTCAGTGGAACTATGCTTGCTTTGCTTGCAGCCAAACCTGGTGCAAACATTAGATTAAGCAGTGTCAAAGTTAGACCAGTGCCCGTCTTTATTAGGAAAAGAGCTTTCTCAGCACATGGCTTCAGCATGGTTACCAGGTACAAGCACAGTAAGGTGCGCTACTGGGTTCAATGGCTAACATCGCAGTGGACCTGCTGTTGTAATGACTATGCCACACGTGCCCACTAAGGGACTGTTGATGTTGACACAAGACCGAAACGGTGTCGAAAACCTGACTGTTGTAAATCACTGTTTTCCCTTACCAAGCGTACGGTCGAATCTCACGACTTCCGTTTTAAGACCAGTTAACGGAACACAATCCTGACCTTCACAGTGAAGAGTTCACTGCAGCCTAGAGAAGCCTTGTATATTGATGTGGCGATTACACCGTTTCACGCAGACCACCCGCAGAAAATCCTGTGCCTGTGGCTAGACCGTGACGCTGACGATTACCGTGCTGACCAGCAGCTGAAACGTCAGCCTTAAACAGTGATCATCCTGGTGGCTGTTCTAGATCGTCTGAGCCCACCGTCGCCAAGAAGTGCATGTTGCAACAGAGATGGCTATAGTGAAAAGCCTTCTATTCCTTAGATTGAACCGCAACAGCTGCGTAAGGTGTAGACAATGTTACAATATTACCTCATGCTGAATATAAAGAAAATATACATTACTAGGAATGTCCATGTGCACACCTTCCAGGACCACTGTCTGTCATTGTTTTTTGAGAATAGGACACAACAGCCTGGATCTGTATTCACACATAATACATCAGGCATGCAAATATGTTACTTAAGGTCTCTAACTCCTCTAGTATAAAGTTTCTCCTGTTTCACTGAGCAATCATAGACAATAGTCATCTGTGGCTGTGTGCATGGTGAGTGGTGGCTTTGGGACAACTTCAACACCTGCCAAACATCAAGGGACACTGTCAGCTATCACAATGACTGCGTCAAGTGCTTGTGAACTGCATCCCTGTGGCCATGAGTAAGGTCGAACAAGCCAGGACCTTTATCGTCATTCCTGTGGCTGATACCACTGAAAATGGTTACTGACCTGGAGATTTCCTCAGCCCAACAGCAGATGCTGGATAACAGCTCACGTGCTACGGTAGAACGGCACATAGACCCATATTCTTCAGGTACTCTGTGTGTCTGCCAGTGACCTACTTGTCACTTGCCTTGTGGCACTGGTACTCCAAACTGTTCCAGGTGACCATGCCCTATACCAACTAGCATCCTTGCCGCTCCAGAGGTTGCGATAGAGCTGAGACTCCTCATAGGCATACCTACGGTAGCCTCCAAAGGTCGTTATGATATGCACCCTCCAAACCACCCCGAAAACCAATTTCCATATAATCCCTCACCGAGGAGCCAGATTATGCATGGATACTCCAAATGGGCATTCTTGCAGTCTCACAGCTCGTGATTATGTCACTTTACCACTCTGCAATCATAACTTGGCATTGACTTATCGTTGCTACAATCGTCCAAACAAAGATGGTTTTGACCATTTCAGTTTTGCCTGTGACACTATAATGCAGGATCGATAGCAGCCAAACCACCACCCCTCTGTAACCATGTTTACACCACAAGGGCCCTTAGATAATAAATGTTAACCCAGGAAACTGATGACCGACAGACCGTAACCCAGAGCAGAAGTCATACAAATATCCTAAACTCTGTCTCAAGCAGAGGTGATTTTCCATATCCCTGCCACATATTTAGGAATGGCCTATACTTAAAAAGGAATGCATTGATCTTTCATTTGAAAAGATAAAGTCTGTGAAATCTTTGCGGAAGAGTAGGAAGTGAGCTTGCAGGTACAATGGCTGTTCTCTCTACATCCTTAGGCTCAAATATATATATGTTGCTACCTCATCTATCTTCGCGGTTCATGGGAAGATGAGCTACCGTGATGAGATTAAGCGCCATTACCCTAACAACTTGTTGGTAAAGGTGCTTAGTCATCATTGTGTCTGTGTATTTAAAATATTCGGCATTGTGGAAAAACTATTTTCCCCATTGAGTTTACCAACACACACTTTTCTGCTGCTTAACCTCGACTTGCTGATTAACAGAGTAATACAAAGGAATGTTGCAAGCAAACAGCGGTAATAGATGGTGAAACACTTGGTGGACAAATATAATATTAACTAATGGTAGAGAAAGACCATTTGAGTGCCAATTACAAGATCTATTTCAGTCATCCTCAATGGCTCAAACATGGCATCTTACAAATAACGCTCTCTAAAGCCATTCATGATTAAGGTATATCCTTATACAAAGCAATGGGTCTTCTATGAACTGTAGAGTTCCATACAGCTTATGCATTCAAAGTACTCACATCTACTCTTCGCCATGAGAAAAGGGTTTAATGGCAACCCTCGGCAAACGCGCTACCAACAAATACCGCCGATTAGGAAATTACAATGAAACACATGCATCTCTGCTGCGCTACCGAAAGTGACTATTTAAAGGACGTTTAATTACGGTAACTTGAGATCCATCGCGCTTGCAGCATCTGGTGCTAAGCCCCTCTCTTCCAGAGTGCCCAAACTTTGTAAACTATAGCCTGAGGACTCTGACCGTATGTACGCCCAAGTGTCTAATTTATCTGATCTAACCTATTTATAGCCATTCCAATCCACCTCACCCATGTGGAGGACTTCTGGATTGAGCACTATTAACTCCTAGACGTGGAAGCGTATAGACAGAGTGTACAACGTTACTATAGGATGCCATACACGTAGGAGTGCCTGAGGAACAGCAATCTCTAATGGCCCCCCTTTATTCCTGCACTACCTTTTGACACTTCCCAAGTAAGACCACATGCAGATTGATTGATACATGAGCAGCCGATAAGAAAACGTACCTATTTACACCCCCAAATATCTCGGCATCCGGTTTATGAAAGGGGTAGAATGCAACAACCTGCTCTGTGGGATCCAGGTGCTAGCTTGTCCACCATTTCATAAAGGCAAAGCGAAGAGAAGGAACAGTGAAAAAATAGCCTTTCCCTCTCACAAATCTTTGACTTAGTAATCCATTAAATGACTTATGGAAGCTTTATATGTATGCATTGAAATACACAAGTCCAGCTGAGCGAGATGATGGCTACATATCAAAGTTCACACCGCAGCTATCTAGACATCCTATCGTTACAGGGAATCCCAAATGCTGCATCATCTCCCGTAATGATCATTGGTGTAGAAAATGCCATTTGTTACAATGGAAAAAATTTCTGGGGAGTGATGTTTATTTGAGCATTTAAGATGTCTGTGAAAGTATAACTCGATAGTTTTACTATGTGATGACGATACCTTATCATTTTTACCCTGTTTCCATTCCTTATACACTGCATACACAGAAAACGAGGATGGCGCACACTACAATCCATGATGCAGCGCTTCCTTGTGTGACCACTGTTACCAAAAAGAGTAATAGTCTATGCCAGAAGATGTTAGCACCGAGCCTCGCCGTTAGGAGCGCTCCTAACAGTAGTCGACACAACTGCAAAGACTGGTGTCAAACTCTGTGTGGACACAAGAGATGCCCTGTCCAGACCATGTTGGACCATCATGACATGCAGAAGGCAGTAACTCTGGCAGAAAACCGTTTTCCAATGATCTATAGCCTGCTGATGGACACCTGCATAGAGACAGACTGCCAGTTTAGGCTACAGCGCATTAAAGACTAAAGCTACAGTGGCTATTTACACTTGCTAAGCTGTCGCATTCCACTGTTATGACGAAGTGCCAAACGCGTCGCAGAAACAGCAAAACTAATACACGTAAGGCATGACAGCAACTGCAAGGGGCTTGTGTTCTCTAATGACCCTTACATACCAAAAAGAACACCGCCAATTGTAAACCTACGGACACTTCCCAACACGTGTGATCAGCTGATACCTTTGCCTGCCTGGGATAGGCAAACTCCGATCTCTTCAAAATCGTTCCGGGTGACGGAAAGACATTGCGGACGTTGAGGCAGATAGACGTCAGGCTATAACCCTGAAGGTGGTGCAAGGCCCTGCAGTGTGCATGGTTCTTGGAAATCTCAATTCGAACCCCTTGCTATCTGGGCACCTCTCACCCTTTCGGGTGTAGGGCCAGGTGCGGCTGGAACGAACCGGTTTTCCCCGTTTAAGAACCAAGCAGGACCCACACCCCTCTGTCTATCGCCGTGAGGTCCATGGCGCCAATGCGACAATACGGTCCACTCAATGGAGTGTTACAGGATTGCTTGGTGTTCCAAGTCCAGCAGAAACTTGATCACGTCCTGATGGAAGGAGATGACATTAGGTTATGAAAAGCTCCATTCCCTCTGGGACCATCAGTGACAAACAGTTGATATATATATGTGGCATGACAGATTAGTGACTGCACACAAATAGGTGAGAAAATAAATCCACATTCAAGACAAGACGAACAATATCATACAGTCCTACCTGTTGAGGCAACACATGATGCACCGCCACCTATTGTCATATTCCTCATAGGAAAAGGTCTCATTGTCCATCGTGCTATAACTACAGTATAGGCTGATAAGAAAACAGCCTTTTACACATGACCGAGGAGCATCTGACAGGCGCTGTATGATTTGAATCTTTACCCGCCCTAATATGCCACAGCCATCACACAGTCATAGACTGAAGACTGGTGGACATGGCCAGTCACGCAGGCAGATATACAAAAAAAAAAAAAAACAAAAAACAAAACGGGTACATTCTTCAAAGGGAACAAATGGCAAGTAACGATCGTCACCTCTCCGTGGAGGTAAGCATGACCGGAGGCATCAATCATCCTCATGAGTGGGAACAGCATTCTATATGGCAGCTAAAGCGATACCAAGGCACTGACCGATAGCGCTGCATCCTTTCTACCACAACTGTGAGGGATAGACCAATGAAGGAACAGTCCTGACACTTCTCACCAGAATATAATGGCTCTATCTGTGCCAACCAGTTCAGAAATTGTCACCGGTGACATAAATGTCTACCACAGAAATGCCTGCTGGTGCTCGAAGGTGACCATTGCCGTATACAGCAGCTCTATGTTTTCCAAGAGATTCTGATTTAAAATCACAAAATGAGACAGACCACCAGACTATCGTGCAGATACATATTCAAAGGCTTGCTCAGCAGCAAAAGTGAATGAGACCACAGTCACTCAAAGAGTAAAGTAGTGCCTACAGAGAAAGGTCTGACTAGAGTTAAGTAAGCCATCCACAAATAGAGATATACGATTGCAGCGAGCGTGTTGAAACTCTGAGGGAGAGTACCGAGGTGGACTTGGCAGACGAGGGATGCGGACGGCAAGCTCGATCGATTGGCTACCTGTGCCCTATTAAAACGCAACTGCTCTGAAGACACTTTACAACCCCATTTGTATATGCATGGTGAGCGATAAAAAGGGGGTTTCAGATTTGATCTTTATAGCCACACAACCCTATTACAGGACATAAAGGAATGATAATGACCGGTAAACCACCTAGTGAAGTGAACCTTGGCCAGCAATGACAGCCTTACAATACATCCTCTGTCTGTACTTGTCTATTTATTAGATGAAGTTAACCAGGAGACTATTGCAGAAACCTGCCTATGGCACTTCTTACCAAGTCACATAGAGCCAAGGAGAATTAAGTAAGATAGGGACCTATTTTGACACCTATCATCTTTAGCATAAAGGTATTGTTAAACACATAATACATTATCAACGACAAGTAGCCTCGAGCAGCAACGGTCCCAATCAGAAGACATAGTCTATGCAACATCCGAAATATTAACTGCTAGAGTACACCTCTATAGTGATCACATTCACAATAAAACAGCGGAAGGAAAGAACAGAGTGGAGGAAAAACAAAATCATACCTGAGGCTGAGATCCATGCAATACTAGTTCCAAAAACACTGACTTCATACCGCTGTATTGCGAGGGGGCTCTGGACCACCAAATTACTACCCAAAGCATATATGGGACTTAACAAATTAACCACATCTGTGGGGATACTGCGACATACCGAGACGTACTGCGACATTCTGCAGGTCCGCGGATGCATGGTGACCGCGGTTACGGCGAGACCTCAGAGAGCTTTTACTGGCAAATGAGAAATGCTACGCAGAGTGTCCACCCGTAGTCAAGACTCCCGATGTTGCCGTGACTGGGTGCAGACTGCTGCGCTCATAAAAGGACAGATGGGAATAGCTGGGACGCGTGCCCTTAACGCAAGCGCCCATTTTTAATCTCGCCCTAGATTTCCTCCTGAGCATAGGCAAGACTCGAGGGACAATCTGAGGAAGCGTGATTAAATGGCGATAGCATGATGCGCACGGTATCCCATGTTGCCTCGAGAAGTAACAGCGGCCTTGCAAACTCTGATAACGAGCTACGAATTTAAGCTAACATACATGCACAACTGCAGCCTCCTCTGGACTAATTTCCCTATTGATGACGTTTTTATCTCACACCTAACATTACTAGACATTAAGCGTCCTTTCAAAAAGTACCCCTTCCACATCTAGGTCACATGCTTGTGGATACACGGTATAACACGTATTAGGGCCATGGTCAGCTAGCGGTCAAATGATCACCGTTCAACATACTGTACACGCTCATCAGGAGGACCGACATCTTTACCCTGCACCTGTACGCAGCTACAACGATGAAGAGTGCGATAACTGAAGCCACACCTTCATACGATTATATTAACTGAATGCGAAAGTCACAACAGAAATCGAGAGCTGTACTCAGCAAAGCTATAGTCGCGACCTACTACACTAGCCACGGACATAAGTTTTATTACATACAGAACAGAGTACCGTGACATGCAGTTGACGACAAGGAGCTAATGTCATTCTACTTCGGAACAAAAAGGGTAAAAAACTAACCGATAATTAAAGGCGGCCAAAGCCATGCAAAGTCACCTAATCCAGACAGCACAGACACCAATAAAAATAACGTCCTGCCAGAAGTTCGAGCCTGGCTCTGCTCTATAGGTAGATGGAGCGCTACCCGAGAAAACGGCTCACAGGTAGCAAACATAAACACCTTTACATAATGAAGGGAAACAGAGAGTTATCATTAGTAGCTCAGCAGAATTCGGGCCACAAAGTGCACGGGCACAAATGGGTAGACAGCAACAGACTGTCACATCCCTAATTAACTAGATCTGCTCCGCAATGCAATGCAAAGCTGGGGGAAGGCTATGCCTAAGTAACACAGGTCAACAGAGCGAGCCACACCTCGAGAAGCCCGCTGTACATTCAACCTGACAGTACGAGTAAACCGTCAATCCAGTGCGGGTTCATAGCCCGCTAAGTAAAGACTTGCTATTGTACTTAAACACCCACGGGTTAGCATACGAGGTTGCAAAGAGACGAGGTTAGAGATGCGGCCTCTGCTAAAGTGACCGAGACACACCACAAGGTAAACAGGCAAAGGGGTTCTGAAGCGCCCCTAGGATGTGCCGGACCCAAACACGTGAGACAGGCGACTCACCTCAGCTGCCGGCTCTTAACGGGACACGGCTGCAGTGCGGCGACAGCAGAATCTTGCCGTTCCCCTTCCTCATCTAGTGCACGGCACGCGAGAGCGTCGCCCTCTCCCGAGGCGGAATAGCTCCCTTGAAAGTGCTTTACCTCTTGCCGTTGGGGACCCGCGGCGTCTCACCCGTACGGCCGGCAATAGTGCATCCGTTCCGGGAAGGAGCGCCGTATGTCCGCCGCGCTGATAGCCGCACTGACGCCGTCCGTCCAGGAGCAGGGCCGTTATCATCCTTTCCGCGGTCGAATCCATCTGAGGCCACTCCACTCAAATGCTGAGGCCGAGCCTGCGGTCAGGCACGCCCGGTCTGCGCAGCTGAAGCCGCTTTCATGACGTGGCGACTCCGCCCCCGCCCGGACCTGCCGCACCTGGGGCTGCCCGGAGGCGTCCTCGCCCAGTGCCTAGTTACAGCGGAGGCCCGGCCCATTTCTGGGCTGCCGGGTCTGGATTGGTCTGCCATCGCTGACGGCTGTGGCAGCCGATGACAGATAGCCAGCGGCCGCTGCCACGCCGGCCGCCACGCCCACCCCAAGCCCACCTGGGGCCACTAGCGACCGGTCCTGAGGTCAGTACACTAACAAGAGGAAAGACCACATGACAGTTAGGGACTGCATGATCGCTTCAGGGAGAACACTGATCTAGACAGACGCGTAAAGCATTGAAACAGTTACGTTCAATTGAGGAAACAACTCTAGGCACCTTACACCGGTGTTCGAACCTCTGAAAAAAAACGAGACTGTAACAAATAAAAGACAGCAGTGCCTAGCAAAAGCAAATGACAGTAAGTAGGGCTCCTGCGGGAGAAACAGCTCGTGACTGCTGGACGTTAAGCTCTGACTACTGCTTAAGCACAAAAACCGCCCCTTAAAAGCAGTAGGAGACGCTAGAGATACTTAGAGAAAACAGATTATCTGCATTACAAAAGACCAAAACTTGGAAAAGTGATGAATGGAAGGGGACCTTGTTGTGCTGACTTGGATACGACTAACGCAGACACCACACAGAGCAGAGCTGGCAGATTTACCTTTACGTGACTACATAACATAACATTTCACAATAAACCTACAGTACCAACATACAGAGCTGGATCCCAAAACCACACTGAAAATAGCGAGTACTGTCTCCATTCATGACTTCGTCTGAAACGGACTTAATGATATAATAAAGAGACACTTCCTGTTATAATATGTACCATGCTGCATATCTGCAGTACCTGAGGAGTCAGGGGAGCAGGGAGGATTTCGACAACATCACCCAGCAATAGCCGTTCCCTAAGCATTGCATCGACCCTGAGGTGAGGCTACCGAAGTCACTGTAAACAGCTCAAGCCTTCTAGAACACAAAATCAGCAGTCCTGGATAGCTAAGACCTGTGTTTTCAGCTAAAATACCCGGAATTTCCCTGGGAGTATCTGCTCCTAGAGAAGGTGCGGATCTCGGGGGACAGACTTCTGGTTTTGCCATTGTCTCTCTCAGACTTCTGAGCAAGTTCACATGCCAAATCACAGTGCCAAACACCCGATGGGGAACCCTGTTAACTTGCCTATACTCAAGCAAATATCAGCATATATCTAATAGCAATCAAGATATTTAGTGACATAAGACTGATCTGATCTATAAAGTACACGACATGCATGTCTAGGATGCCTCTGCCTTCAGGCCACGCAGCAATCCAGAGCCGTGACAGCACTATGGAGGCTGCATGGAAATGGACTGGAAACCATCGCCTCACCGCCAAAGAAAAAGCAGAGTTCCCTGTGGCGATGCACACAAACATTCTAATTGGCCAAAATGTTTGATTGAGCCGGGGATATATTGCTGCCAAATGGAAGAATATTAGAAACAGAGAAACAATAGCAAGCACACAGCGATTACTGTACAGGAAGCGTCATAGTGATTACAGTGATAGACATATGACACAAAAGTCCCTGAACCCAAGAGCCTCCTGCAGGTACAATGAAACTGGCCAAAAAGCCCGAGGTTTCGGGACAAGGAGACGGCCAGAAACATACTTTAGGCTTTGTAACTGATAGGCAGTGGTTCCCATTAGTCACACAAGATACTATAAACGGCAAAACGGTTGCGACGGAATCGGCTCAAACGCCAGAGCTCAATACGCAGCCGCGACCCTGATTAAGCGCTTCTGTCAAGACCTGGGGTTTTTTTATAATTGACTAGAACATCCGGACCGCTGCAACAGACTTAACATACAATACCTCGAGCCACAAGAAAGCAGATCAACATGCACATGAGCAACTATAAACAATGTTCTGGCTAGAAGCAGAGTCGCTGACACATTAGTGCAGCTAGGGGATTGGTCCGTGACATACTTAACAATGTCACAATGGAGCCTACCGAAGGGAGACGCCCACTGACAGGTTTAGCCTAGACAGCGGCTACACGACATGCGGCGCCTGACCGTCTCCGCTGCCATGAAACATCATGGACAACTGCCAAGGTAACAGGTGACAGGCACTATCAACCGAACATCAGCAGGCACACCACAGAACACTTGCTCTGCCGGAAAAAAGTGACGAACAAATAATAACTGGCCTCCTATGGCTAGACGACAGAAATCAAATTCCTAGACAAAGAAGCGCACACCCAATAAATCCTCCGGTCACCGAGGGCACCCAAAGGTGTGCCTGGGCTTGAGCAGTCCCCCTGCCGGCCACAAAGGGCACGCCAGCACAATAGTGCTCCCAGGTTTTATCCCCTAACTGGGACACCTGACCTTTGTTTACTTAATGCGGGAGACCTGGGGCTCTTCCCTAATGGCTCTCACCCCAGGGCCGGCCGCACCCTGGAGGGAAGCTTAAAGGTCAACTCACCAGCCCTTTGGGAAGGACTGTGGCAATCACCCATATATCAACCTTCATTTGGAGCTTGGAGTTGAAACCCCAGCATTTCAGCTTCCTAGACGCATCGCCTCGCCCACACGTTACGCGGCCCTACTGCACTCGGGGTGACACATACAGACCCTGCGGAGCACGTTGGCTGTCTGGCCTGCTGCGGACTATCCAGACGCCTCCTTCCTCATCCAGACAGGCAGGCTCACTCTTCGTGCAGCGGGAGGCAGCTGCTGCCAAGATGACCTTGATTTTCTTCTTCTTTCCCTTTCACAGGCCTCTCCAGCTTCAGCCGTGGCAGCTCCTCTCCAGACATTTGACCCCGATTACCACTGAACCCTTGCCCTTTGATGCCAAGGGTCCCAAGGTGACAGGGAGGGCAGAAAAGACTAGAGACCCAAAAGGGAGCTGAGGCCAGAGGGAAAGTCAAGAGCAGACACTTGTGGAGAGGCAGGAACTTGTGGAGTGCTAAAAGGGGTGGGAGACAAAGAGTCAGAACTTCAAGTAACACGTAAAGGACCTAATAAAGGGGGGGGAGCAACAAACTGCAGGAGACCAAAAAGGGAGGCTGGAAGTGAAATAGAGGCCAGAAAAAAGTGGAGGCTGAAAATGGGTGGGAGGCCCAAGGGAAGTAGAGGCTAGAAAAAAGTGGAGGCCAAAAAAAGGGAGGGAGGCACAATGGGGGTAGAGGTCAGAAAAAAGTGGAGGCTGAATAGGGGCGGGAGGCCCAAGTGACATAGAGGCTAGAAAAAAATGGAGGCTGAATAGGGGTGGGAGGCCCAAATGAAGTAGAGGCTAGAAAAAAGTGGTGGCTAAAAAAAAATGGGGGGAGGCCCAACGGAGGTAGAGGCCAGAAAAAAGTGGAGGCTGAATAGGGGTGGGAGGCCCATGGCAAGTCGAGCTAGAAAAAATGTGGAGGCCAAAAAGGGGTGGGAGGCCCAACGAAGGTAGAGGCCAGAAAAATGTGGAGGCCAAAAAGGGGTGGGAGGCCCAAGGGAAGTAGAGGCCAAACAAATGGAGGCCAAAAAGGGGTCAGAGGCCCAACGGCGGTAGAGGCCACAAAATATTGCAGGCTGAAATGGGGTGGGAGGCCAAAACAAGGTGGCAGGTCAAAGGCAATTAGAGGCCAGAAAAGACTGGAGACCAATACGTGCTGTAAGGCTGCAGGGAAAAGGCAGTTCGAAGACACTGAGGTAGGTCACCGGGGGAGTCTTTCAGGTGGGAAGTCTTGGGGGGGGACTATTTTGGGAGCAGTATTCTGGGATGAATCCTTCAGGAAAGACTATTTATTTTGGCGAGGAGTACTTCAGCAAGGAATCACATCACGGGGACTATTTCAGGGCTGAGTTTTTGAGAGGGGATGACTTAGGAGCGGCCCTTTGGTGTTTACTGTTGGGGGCAGTATAATAGGAGGACTCTTGTGGGCCAAAACCTGGTTGGGTGGCCAGAGGGAAGTAGAGACAAAAAAAAAACCCATAGAGGTAGAAACAGGGTAAAAGACCAAAAAGGGGTGGGAGGCAGCAGTGAAGTAGAGCTTAGAAGAAAGTGGCATAGTGTGGGGTGTAGTGTTTCAGGGGGGGACACCATTTAGGAGGAGAATACTTCCAAGGGACTTTTGCAGGGGGGACTATTTCATGGGGGCATGCGGGTGAGCTGAGCATGCACACGACCAGTGTGATGAAGAAATACCCGTTTATTACAACTGAGAAAGGCCTTTTATAATGTTCTCTTGCACACGTGAGTAACATGCAGTACAAGTCCTCAAGATTGGACAGTTAACTTAGGCCGCGATTTAAAACTTCTTCTAATTGGATAAGTAGTGCCACATCAGCCTTGTAAGGCTTCCTGCCCTGTGGAACTTCCTCTTCTGTCCCAACCCCTTCCTGGAGTTGTTTATCTCATCGAGTTTCTCCCCCCTCATTCAGGGTCACATCCTTATCGCATTCTTGCTCAGCTAAGGATCAAATCAGTCTTGTTCTCACACAGGATTGCTCACACGTCCATTCTCTCGCAGAAAGCCCTCTAGAATCCCAACGTATCCTTTTTTTTTTTTTTTTTTTTGAGCAATCCAGATTTCTTGCAGGCCCTTTTGTACCGAATATCTAACACAGGAGTCTAAGCATGACAAATTGACAGCAAGTATGATAACTACAAGAATTACAACAATTCCCCCTTGTAGCAACCCTTTCAACCATCCTGTGATTCCCAATGAAGCAAACCATTCTGATAGGGGTGATGTTACAACAGTTAACTTCTTCATGTTATCTTTTAGCTTTCTTGGATTCTTATAGATAGATACCAAATGGTCAGATAAATTCACAGAGCACATTCCTTCAAACTTTTCACACCCATGCCCTTGTGCTAAAAGCAGAAATTCAATGGCAGCCCTATCTTGAAGTACAGCATGTTTAAGACTCTCAACATCCATAGCCAAATCACCTATTACATTTGATGACAAGTTCATTTGTTTAGCAGTACAACCTGCAAGATGAGTGTCGAGTTGTAATGCCTTTTTGGTCCCAACTGGAGACACTAGCCAAAAGCCTGTGGTATCCACGCGCCATTCTCCTGCTAAGCAAATATCTTGTTTTCAACAGTTCAGCTTCCTTATCTTCTTTCTACACACGCAGTTTCTCAGCCCCTTGGCTTTGCAGGTGTTCTTTACACCAGCTACAGCCTGTTGTTACAGTGAGGCCACTCGGTCTGGATCGTTCTTAACATGTCCGTTGTTTTCTAACCCTTCCACAAATATCTCTTTGTTTTTGAGCGATCTAGACCCCTTTTATTGTTTGGTCCGTCGTTTTCACAAAACGCTTCCACAGACAGCTTCACATTATTAAAAGGTTACAATGACAATCAAAACTGTTATTCAATATAAAACCAAATCCATTAACCATCTAGTAATTGGTAACCTTTTAGCCGAATCATTATTAAATACTCTTCCTTCTTCAAGATGTAAACTCATCGTGTAAGCATCACTACAAAACCAAGTGTCATTTACTGGTACTGCTGAAGGAGTCACGTTTTGCCATCCCAGCCAGACTGCCTGATTATACCAACCATGTGTCAGAGTTGTATAAGGCCGATGCCTCCCAGATCTCCCCTTTCTTTGTTTTGCTGTGGTGCCTGCAAGACTTGTTTGAGAGCTGTATCAATCAGGCCTTAGACAAACTTCAGAAACACAGCATACTTAGAATAGTTCCACAGAAGGCTAAAAGAATACAGCAGCTACAATTACAAAAGAGTAGGCAAATTTCACCCATAATTAAGGGATATGACTAAATACTACAAAAATAAACAGAAAGGAAAATACAGAGTAGCACACGTTATTATTAGGAGTACTAACATTCAGATCCGCAATTGCTGGGGAACCCTGGATGCAGCGAGAATTCAGAGTGCCCTTCCTCGCAAACTGGCAATCCTACGTGATGTGTCCCTCCGTAGGTGAGGGATCCAAAGTCGCTGCAAGGAGGTCCAACCTCTAAATCAACAGGCCAAAATAACTGGCACTTGTCTTTGAGCAGAAACATCTGATTTCATTCTCCTGTTGGGTTCCACCCCTAACCTGGCCAGCACTCCAGGGGGAAAACCAAGGGAGTTTCCAATAAGGTTAAACATTGGATTTCTTAATTCTTAATATTGCTAAACAAAGAAAGTTAAATACACACATTCTTACAGCATTTCATCCTCATTAATAACTACATTTCATCTAAACTACATCTTTCACTAGTGACTAGTAAGCCAATATATCTCATTAAGGAGTTGCAATTACTGTTAGCATTTTCTCTTAAAAGAATTGGCAGCTATAGTGTAGTTTGTTCTGTTGCAGTAGCAAACATTACCCAGACATTCTGTTTAAATGATCAGTCAAAGAGATCACAAACTGTCAGCACAGGGGCACTCACAGCACCCACAGCTGGATCCTGAGAGCTGACTGCCTCTCACACCTCAGGTGTGGTTGCACACACCTTGCCAGTAATCACCAGGGACTGTGACCTGTGGAGACACCAGCATCACCTCTTCCCCAGGTTATTAAAGGAAATGGTCCTTCCCAGTTACCCCTTTCTAGGCTTTTGTTACCACTTGAGCTTTGCTTTGGACTTCTTGTTCATCTGGTATCTGTGATGAGAAATGACACAATATTGGCGGCCCCTGTGAGACGGGAATGTTTAAACGGTTCATGACATATAATGCCTTATTTTGCCTTTCGTGAGGTGTAGATTGATACTGTGCATCTCCCTTATTTTGTTGTTCTAACAGACGTTTTAGCTTTAGTGAGAGTACATTTTACTAGAAGTCAATCTTGTGTCACTGTCTGAGTCCAAAATATTTAAGGGGTACCTGCTGATCCAAATCCTGAGTCACTGCAGCTTCTTTGTATACTATTAGGGGGAGCTGCAGTAAAATAAGCAAGCTGAACAATTTTTGACCCTTTAGGTACTGAACACAGGGGTTCAGGCCATAATTCTGATTTTTCTCTTCATAACCAGCAACTACGATCTAAGGTTGTAGATGGTCTTTTGACAATATTTCCGTCAGGCAGATGGTTCAGAGGTGCACTCTCCCCGCAGAGCATGCACCTAAATTCAAGACAACAATTAACACAGAATTACTGCCTCCCGTTAGAGGAGGTATTTTACATGTAACACTTAAAACACTGAGCCCAGACAGCAGCACCAATGACTCTCTGCAGCTGGGCTGCATCTCACACACACGGAACAATCACACAACCACAGAAAGAAGTCCCCCACACTCATTACTGACATAACATAGAATGACAAATACTACAATCTTGAAAACATCATTAAGAATATTTAAAGCCATTGTTGCATGACAGCATGAGAGTCTGTGAAAAAACTGCTGCTTTTGTCGGGGGGGCAGTGCGCGGTGCCAGGCTCGGCCGCAGGATGTCCCTCCACGGCAGAGGGTGCTCAGGGGGGCCCCAGGCCGCCGCCGCCAACTCCATACTGCGCACCCCAATCACTGTTGGACCCCGTGGACTCCTCCGATGCCACCTCATTCTCCTTCCTGAGGGCATCAGGTGCCCTTCTGGTGTTCTCAGCTCTGACCGCGCAGCTTTCAGTTTCACCCCCGCTGCCCGCCGCGGACCCAGCTGCACGACCGGCAAAGTAAACAGTTTTTTTCCTGAGCTAATGTGACGGGAGCCGCTAGGGGTGCCAGCATCGGAGATGGACTGTCAGAACGAGATGCTGCTCCGATCGGTGCAAAAGCAGAAAGAAGCATCCGCAGCACGCTTGCTGCTCAGCTCTTGCAAAGTCTCACAGATTTGTTTCCAAATTGTGTAATAACTGCTCACTTCTTTTGCTGATCTTCCTCCATCACTGATAGAATCCCAAAGCTGTTTCCCTATAGATTCCCAGGTAGATTTAAGTCCCTTTTCTCGGCTCCATCTTAAACTTTCAAGAGTTAACTTAGATTTTTTTCCCCCTCACAGAGAGGACACACTGGAGGAGTTTCACCACTGCCTGTTTGTCCTTGGCAAGGGCAGCCCCATTCCTCCCCGGCCACCACCTCTTGCGGATCCATTATCTTCAAACTCTCCCTCTATCTCTCCCTTTTAAGTTACAGTGTGCCGATTCTCACCTTCAAACACCGGGGCAGTGCCTGGATACGTTGAGCGGCTTTCTCCCCGTCAGATTGCAGTGCGACAAGTCCTCCTCAGTGAAGACTTTGTGCCAATTTTGAGGGCCCCATGTTGGGCATCATTGCGGGAGAGCTGAGCACGCACACGACCAATGTGATCAAGCAATACCCGTTTATTACAACTAAGAAAGCCCTTTTATAATTTTCTCTTGCACACGTGAGTAACATGCAGTACAAGTCCTCAAGATTGGACATTAACTTAACCTGCGCTTTAAACCTTCTTCTAATTGGATAAGAAGTGCCACATCAGCCTTGCCAGGCTTCCTGCCCTGTGGAACTTCCTCTTCCATCCCAACCCATTCCAGGGGTTGTTTGTCTCATCAAGTTTCTCCCCCTTCATTCAGGGTCACATCCTTATCGCATTCTTGCTCAGCTGAGGATCAAATCAGTCTTGTTCTCACACAGGATTGCTCACATGTCCATTCTCTCGCAGAAAGCCCTCTAGAATGCCAACAGGGGGAGGATTTTTGAGGGAGTATTCACGGGGGGAGCATTTCAGGGAGACAGTCTTTCGTGGGAGATTATTTCACGGGGAGTACTTCGCAGAGAATATTTCGAGAAAGTCTTCTGGGGGGAATATTTCAGGGAGACTATTTCAGGGGAGAACATTTTGGGATACTATTTTGGGGCATAGTTTCTGGGGGACTATTTGGGGCGTGGCCTATGTGGGCATCAATATTTGAGGGGAACTGTTTCACAGCAGATGGGTTTGGGGTGCACTGTTTCGGGGTGGAGTGTTACAGGAGAAACTATTGCTGGGGAGACTCTGAAATGGGTGGGATGCAGAGTTAAGCAGAGGTCAAAAACCCCAAAGACTCCCCCCAAATTACACACAGCCTAAAACACTCCATGCAAAACTGTACCCCCCGAAACACTCCCATCCTCAAATATTCCCACACTGAAATACTCTCCCTATTACTCCCACCAAAAATAATCCCACCCTGACTCTGCCCTTGAAATACACACACTCCCACAGAAATACTCCCCTGACAACCCACCCCGCTTAAGACGCATCCATGTTTCCATGACAAATTTCTCTGCCTTTACTTACCCTTCCTTACTCACTACCCATTACTTGCACCCCTCAATCACATTTTACTCACAATCCCTCTACTTGGCCCTCTTTGCTCACCCCGCTTACACTCCACTGCTTACTTACAGCCCCTTTACTCGCAATCCTTTTCCTCCACCCCGCTTATTCTATGCTCGTTACACACAATCCCTACTCAAGCAAAGGCTTCGAGAGAGAACAAGGTGAACAGGGTGGACGACGGGGACAGGAAGATACAGGGGCTGGGGGGGCATGACCGAGATTACACTTTAGAGGCAGGAAGAGAAGGAGGAAGAGAATAGCGAGGTAATGATACCGAGCGGCACAGGCAGATATGCCCATAGAAATTGCGGGCAAAAAGAGACCGATGCCCATCAGCACAAAGAACTGGAATAGGGCAAAAAACAGCGCTAGGCTGTAGGACAGAGACAGAGGATGAAAACAAGGAAGGAGAGGGAGCACAACAAAAGCCAAAAAAAAAAAAAAAAAAGGAAGAGCTAGAACACAAACCTTGCTTGCTCCTTCTCCCTTCCTCCTCTGCAGCTCCAGTACCTTACCTCTCCTCCTCTTCAAAGAATAGGCAGGTGTCTCAGCTCTTACAAGACCAGGCTTCTGTTTTGCCAGTTATCAGGCCTAACAGAAAGGACACAGCGCAGTCAGCATAAAGATCGACCAGCAACTAACTTGTATTTGACACCAAAGGGTCAGGACACGGGTGAGCGCTGGGGGTACAAGGCAATCAGATGATGCATAATCAACACCAATCCCAATGACCCCAAAAACAACACCGCACGCCCAACAATGGGTGCAATAAACCGTGAAATGCAGTCACCCATAGAAGGGATGGGAGACAACAGGGTCAACAAGCCAAACACCTTAGACCAAGAACGCCACACACTGAATCTCTACACAGCCCGCATTGACAAAAGCCAGACCTGACTGGAGCCCAGTTCCAGGGA